TTTTTTTTTTTTTTTTTTTTTTTTGAAAAGAATATTTTTGTATATATATATATATATATATATAAATATATATATATATTATATTTTTTTTTTTTTTTTAAATAAATAAATATGAATAATTACATACTTATAAACTGTTTTTTTATTTATATAAAATAGATAAAGATCCTAATTTTTTTTTTTTTTTTTGTTTAATTGTATAATTCATGGTTGTGAATATTGTAATTTAAATAAAAAACAATTTAAAAAAAAAAAAGATAAGCATAACAATTTAAAGTTATTTCATTATATATATATATATATATATATATGTTAAAGAAAAAAAAGGATAGAATAAAATAGAGTATGTTTAAAATCCTAAAAAAAAATAAATACGGAAATAAATCATTAGAACATCAGTTAAATTATTAATATTATATTAAATGTAACTTAAAATATTTATCAACATAAACTATATATATATATATATCTTTTTATACAACACTGCAATTAATTTTTCAAAAACTTTATAAAAAAAATATCCTTCAACATTTTTATCACATATTTTAAAATATTTTTTCAAATTATTTATGATATAATAAAAAATTATCTAATGTACAGATGCAAAAAAAAAAGGATGGATAAGATAATGTTATTAAAAAAAATATATCATAAATACATTACCTAATTATATATATATATATATATAAAAGAAAAAGAAAAAATAAATAAATCATTAATATTAACAAATTTTCTTTAGATAAAAAAAAAATTACATAAATAAAAAATTTAGAAAAATAAAAGGAAGTTTTAATTATTAAACTTATATATATATTCAAATACATGTACATATGTATATAAAGCAACGTACGTTTATATATATACATAATTTTTTTTTAATTTACAAAATCATGTTAATAAATTAGAAATATTTTCATAATATTTTAATAAAGGTTCAAAAAAAAAAATAAATTAATATGTTGTTCCCATTTTATATATTAAAACTAATTATCTATTGTATATCTATGATAAAAAAAAAAAATATAACAAAAATTTTTGTTATAATGAAAAATATAAAAAGGAACCTTTTTACAATGAATAAATTCACATTAAAAATAGCAAGTTAAAGCTAAATATGAATAAATAAACACATTATGAATTAAATATTATTTATATATAATAAAAATTTGAAATTTTAAATTATTAAATCAATATAAAATAGGAAAAAATGGGAAAATATGAATTGATGAAAAAGAAAAATGAAAAAAAAAAAAAATACTAAATAATATTTTAAATATAGAAAAACAGAAAAAAATGAGAAAATAAAAATAAAAAATGAAATAAAATACGAACTATAAAGAATCTTCTATTGACATGTAATATTTGTTACAAATAAAAATATCATAAAATAATTGTTTTAATTTATATATTCATATATGAAATATTCACAACATATTTAAATATTCCACTATTTTTTTTTTTTTTTTTTTTTTTTTGATATTAAAAGCTGTAAAAATTAATACGAATTAACCTTTTTTTAAAATAGCTTATAAAAAAAATAATGAAAATAAATTATAAAGAATAGTAAAAAAAAAAAAAAAAAAAAAAAAAAAAAAAAAAAAAAAAAAAAAAAATAAAAAAAAAAAAAAAAAAAAAAAAAAAAAAGAGAAAAAAAAAACATAATTATAAAAAAAAGAAATAGAATTAAAAATATAAAAAAAATATATCCTAATATGCTTAAGCTTTTATAATCTCATAAAATTAATCATAATTAAAAGAAAATACTACTTTAATACTGCACATACAAATTAATTTTGTAAATATACTATTTTAATTTTTGCATCTAATGTAATAATTATAAAATTTTTTAACTGATTATATTTTCAAGAAATTAATATTATATTAAAAAAAAAAAAAAATAAATAAGCATATTAATAAAATAAAGATAAAATAAATGAAATAGAGAAACAACTACATATGAAATATAAAAAGATACATTTATATTAATACACTTTTTCTTTTTTTTTTTTTTTTTTTTTTTATTAAATTCTACAAAACGTTTAAAAAAAAAATAATATATTAGTATGTTAAAAACATATTATATATATTAAAACCAATGAATGTAATAATATTAAATTTAATTGTAAAATAAATAATTATTAATTTAAAAGTGAAAAAATAAATATATGTTTATTTTCCAAAAAACTTTTACTATATTAAAATAATAAATAATGCAAAATTTTTTATATTTTATAAACAATATGAATTTCTTTAAAAACTAAAAATATATCTTTTTATATTTATGTTGAATTTAAGATATATTTGTATTAATATGATTTTTATAAATAATAGAACATCAATTTAAATGAATAATAATTTTATATTTATGATCATTTTGTTAAAAATGATAATTTTTTTTATCCCATTGTAATTTATATTTAAACATTATAGACAGTAGTAAATTTTATATTTCTTTCTTTTATCTTTTTATAAAAATAGAAAAATAAAAATTAAAATATACATATGTTAGTAATGATGTGCAATAAATAATTTTTTTTTTTTTTTTTTTTTTTTTTTTTTTTTTTTTTAATTAAGCTTAGTTGTCTTCATTTAATGAATCTAATTTAAAGTTTATATATAAAGAAGCGATGAAGTGNTATATTTCTTTCTTTTATCTTTTTATAAAAATAGAAAAATAAAAATTAAAATATACATATGTTAGTAATGATGTGCAATAAATAATTTTTTTTTTTTTTTTTTTTTTTTTTTTTTAATTAAGCTTAGTTGTCTTCATTTAATGAATCTAATTTAAAGTTTATATATAAAGAAGCGATGAAGTGTACATTATTATTATATGATTAATAAGTACTATAAATATACTTACTGTTATTTGTAGTTATTGTTATTATATAAAAATAAGTAAATATACTTTTAAAAATACATAAAAAATATATCTATTATTAAAAAAACAAATAAAAATGTTTCATAAATAAAATTTTTTATATATTTATTGTTGATTTTCTATTTGAAGAGGTAAAAATAGATAGTACATATTTAATTTAATAAAAATGGAAAAAAATTTTGTATTACAAGTTAGATATAATGGTGTTTTGTATTCACAATTAGTTTTTTTTTGAAAAATAATTTCTGATTTGTTATAAATAAAAAAGATAAAAAAAATTCATTAACAAGATGTTATATTTAAATGATAATTGAAAAAATAAAAAGCGATAAGTTTATATTACACTTTTTTAAATAAACATTATTACAATACAATATTTTATTTTGATATATTTTAAATTTAATATATAAAATAAAAAAAGTTCAATTATTAATTTTTTTAAATATTCAAAATACGTGAAAAATATCCAAATTTGTATCAAAATATACATATGTACATATATATATAAACTATGTGAGGATAATACTTTAATTTCACTTTATCTCTTTTTTAAATACATATAGAAAAATAAAATAAAGTTTAAATTATTTATTATAAATAGAAATGATAAGGATTATTCTGAATAAAAAATATTTCATTTAAATGGTAAGCATAAAAGAAAAAAGATAAAGTAATATTTTTAAGCTATAAATCGTTATAAAAGCAGAAATTAACAAAATTGTAAATATAAATATATTTGTCTTAGTACTTTTATATTCATACTTTTTTGTAAGACAATGTTTTTTTTTTTTTTTTTTTTAAATTTTACTTAAAGTCTTACAAATGTTTTGTTTTATAATGCTCACAACTATAAAATTGCAATATAAAATAAATTTTACAAGGAAATATCAAATAGGTATATACTTTATAATCTGCTTAAATATCCTCTTCTTTCATATTTTTTGAGTAAATTACTGGAAAATTGTATTTTTTAATTTTTAAATAATTTCATTTTTTTTTTTTTTTTTATTTTATAAACAGTATACTACACTTTAAATTTTACTTTAAAGATCTTTTTTACAATTATTTGCATGCATTTAAAAAAAATAAAAATAAAAATGAGTGAAATTAATAAAAATAATAACTGCATTAAAATTAAGAAAAAGGGTGTTTTTAATTAGCTAACACATATAGAGCGTACTTTCACTTTTTTTTTTTTTTTTTTTCTCTTTTTGTAATTTTTTTCATTTCCTTTTTGAATTAACTATTAAAACTATTTAGGATTATTCTATATAATTTTCTCTTTTATTGAAATTAAATAAATATTTGACTCAGAAAAGTACAAAAATAGTATCTTTTTAATTTATACATTTTAAAAAAAATAAAAATAGAAAATTATCTTCTTTTTTTAAATGAAAATTTATCATTAAATTGTTATACAGTTTTTTTTTTTTCTATCATTCTTTTCTTTCTTATATTTGTCTATTTCCATATGTTTCTTTTCATATTCTATACACAACGTAACTGTAATTATTTTAAGATGTTTTTATAGTTTATTAGAGATATACATTTTATTGATATTTTTATATTTTATTTGTAAGTTCATCACCAACATTGACATGAATAAAAAATATTTTTGCATTATTAATACTTCTTTTCTTTTATTATATTTATCTTTTTTTACCGTATTTCATTTTAATCCTATATACTTTTTTTTATTATTTCTAATAAAAAGACAAAAGAAATAAATATTTTAGTACATATAAAGCTTCTTCATTTTCTCTAAAGTTTTTTTATTTTTAATTTTATATTTTTTTTTTTGTGCACATTTGTAGACATGAAACCTTACAATTCTATAAAAAGAAATTTTTTTTAAGAATTATGTAAATAAGTAAACGGTTATACATTTTTTTTTTTTTTTTTTTTTTTTTTTTTTA